GAGCCTGCAGAACTCCCAGGAATACTCGACAAAGGGGAGATCTAGGCGAGCTAAGGCGGAGAACCGAGCGGCAATTTCCATAGCCGCAGGGAAAACAAGGAAAACAAAGAACTACTCAAAAAGGCGGAAAACACAAACGCGAGGAAAAGTCGCCGCTCACTTTTTGTTGGGTCCGGAATTCTGTCACGGGTTGCTACTGTGAGGAGCACGGAGCAGGACAGGAACAGGAAGGACCAAATAAGGAAAACAGGAACTAAATGGGAACATACACGTGACAAGAATATGTCGTTTTCAAAGTAATATAATAATAAAAATAACAATAATAATAATAATAATTTAAAAATTATGTTTAAGGAATAATTACACAATTGTTCTTCCACATTTTACTTGTAACAGTAATAAAATTGAATTTGAGAAAAAAACTTATTTCCTAAAAAAATTACTAATAAATTGTTAAACTGAATAAGTTTCAGGATTTCAGTTAATTGGACATGCTATTTGATTTCTAAAATTTATTTTAACCATTCAAACAGAATTTGGAAAAATTAAAACAAAAAATAATTGGGAAAAAATAAAACGAATTTACTTAATTTCTTCATGAGTGTTTGTTTATAACAGTAATCTTGGGGGGTAGACTCATTTAAAATAATGTAATCATCAGGTTTTAGCCAGGTTTCTGTCAAACAGAGCACATCTAGTTTATGATCAGTGATCATATCATTTACAAAAAGTGCTTTCGTAGAAAGGGACCTGATATTCAATAAGCCAAGCTTTATCATTTGTTTATCCATATTGCATCTGTTTTTTATTTGTTGAACATCAATTAAATTGTTACTCTTAATTTGGTTTGGACGTTTTTTGTATTTTCTTGTTCGGGAACAGACACTGTCTCTATAGTGTGATATCTAGGTGAAAGGGTCTCTATGTGCTCAGAATGAACTGATTTCTTTGACGTGAGGCGGCTAGCAGACGGTCGGTTTAGCCAGTCTGTCTGCTTCCTGACCTGGGCCCCAGTTAGTCAAGTACAAACTCTAAGACTATGTGTCATATTTCTAGAGAGAAGAGCGGCACCTCCCCAGGAGGGATGAAGACCATCTCTTTTCAACAGGTCAGGTCTGCCCCAAAAACTCATCCAACTCATCTTCAGAGTAGTTGTCCGTGCCGCTGACGACTTGCATTTCTTTGGTCAAATATAGGTTTGTGGATACGGGACGCGATGTCAGTTACCTAAACGAGTCGCATCAGTCTTTTTTGACTGATTACTTTTAAATGTTAATTTTTTTTTACTCCTAAAATGCTTGTTAAACAAGTTTAAATGTAAGAAATATTGTATACGTGTTTAAACGGTGAAATATGTTGTATTAAGAACTGTATTTAATGAAAATGTATGTGCAACTTCACTTGCCTAGATGAAATCCCATTCGAAATCCATGAGATTTTTTAGTAGAGAGGCAACCTTTGGATTGACTGTAGCAGATTTCTTATTCACCACCTTCTCCGTCTTCTTGGAGACTACCTTGCCTCTACCACCTTCTCCATCTTCTTGGAGACTACCTTGCCTCTGCAGGTGTTTGAGCCTCTTTCTGGGTTTATTCCAATGAAGCGTCTAAGGACAGTTGCATTACAAATTACCAAAGTATACAATAACCATTTCTCCAAATTCTGATTAATTAATTTGGTTTAGAATTTAGATTAATTTGGTAACACTTTATAATAAGTATACAGTAACAAAGCACTTATAAATCATTTGCAAACTATCTATATGTCTCCTTGTTTGGATTTATTGTGGATCTACACGCCTTTCTCCTATTTTCTCCCAGTGTCTGGCATGTGAATAAAACCACAGAAGGCTATGAGTTAACTAGTTTGCCAATTATTTACTACTTTATTACTGTATACTTATTATAAAGTGTTATAGATTCTAAGAGAGTGAAAAAAACATAAGCAAAAAGGAAAACACTTACGTTTGAAGAAATTCTAATGTGCAACAAGCCTCCTCTTGATACTGCAGGTTGAAGATGTAGTACACAGCAAACACTGTTGCAAATGCAGTCAAAAATGTTGACTGGACACACTCACAAATAACACAGCCCTCTAGGCTTATCATCTACCGTACAGCATTTGCCGGCTCTGCCATACCTAAAATAAAAAATAAATAAATAAAAACAAGAACAATGAACAAATTTTTTCACAACTCATTTCAAAGAACTACCTTCAAGAAAATTTTATATCTCAACCATTAGTAAATGTTTCTACTTCATCACATGTAATGACACACTAACCCAGCAAAATCAGACGAGGACTGGCAGGCAGATTGAGTGTCTTCTCAACATCAGATGCAGATGCAGCAACCTGTAGAGAACACACAATACACAAATAAGAATCCATAATATAATTTAGTTAAGTGGAAAGAAGAAAATTAAATACTATGCAAATACGTCTGCATGCAAAACCAGTCCATCGTCATGTTCCTGGAAGTGGAACATTAACGTTAGAATTTTGACAAGCAGGTGTGCCATCTCTATGTTCTCAGCCTGGGACAGGACATGCTTCACCTTTTCATTCAAAACACGTATTAAACAATTAAAAATAGTGTCTTCTCAACATCAGATGCAGATGCAGCAACCTGTAGAGAACACACAATACACAAATAAGAATACATAATATCATTTAGTGAAGTGGAAAGAAGAAAATTAAATACTTACGTCTGCATGCAAAACCAGTCCATCTTCATGTTCCTGGAAGTGGGACATTAACGTTAGAATCTTGACAAGCAGGTGTGCCATCTCTATGTTCTCAGCCTGGGACAGGACATGCTTCACCTTTTCATTCAAAACACTTAAACAATTAAAAATATTCTGTCTACCGCTCTCTCCTTCTCTCTCTCTCTCTCTCACACACGCACACACACACACCTGTATTTGAGGATGAGGAACAAGTTAGAATGTAAGTGAATGAAGTAATGTTACCTCTGTTATATAGAGGTTTGTATGCGGTTTGCGCCAATTTATCCAGTGCAAAATCTGCGATTAAAATGTGCTCATATACAAAGCCCACTTAATAAACAATAAGTTTGAATATATTTAGATTACACTCTAAATTGCTTTAGATACGACTTGTTAAGATGAAATCCGCGCAACACTTCCACTGAGACCAATGCGTCACTCCGAAAAAGCTAACATTTCTCCCCATCCCCCACCGATCAAGTCAAGTGCTCATGCAAAAGGCGGCAAGTTTATATGCTTCCTTAGTAAAATTAAGTTTACACGCCTATTTTTGATTTCCCTATATACTGTGTAGCGAAGGTTGGCGCCCGCAAATATAAAGATTGTGCAAATAATTGTTTCAGATAATCAAGCAAACACACTTACTTCACTTACTTCATATCTGTAATCGAGCTTCAATTTGAGATAAATCCATTTAGGCTATATATCCACTGAGACCGACGCTTCTCTCACTGGTATCAAAAGCTAACCGTTGCTCCCCTCCCCCACCGAACGCAAGTATTTTATATTTTCCTCTATATAAGGTTAACATTTACAGGATTTTACACCAGGAAACAACAAAACATGCAATTAGCTGCAAGAATCGCTCTCTTTCTTTCTTACACACACACACACTTAACTTAACGTTAATTCACCGTCTTAAACCTCAGGGTTGGCAACAATCTGTCAAAGGCAAATTAAAAGATTGTGCCCACATAAAAAATAAATATATCAAATAAACTTATTTCAGACTCTGATCTGCTTACCTGTAAATGAGCTTCAACTTGAGATGAAATCCATGCATATAAAACTTTCACTGAACCCGATGCTCCTCGGTGCGTCGGCGTCAATCACTTGTACCAAGCTAGCCTTTGGTTCCCCTCCCCCACCGATCACGTGTGCATTTACGGTAAGACACCGTAATTTTAGAAAACAGTTCAGTACTGTAAATTTACGCTGTAAATTTACAGGGATTTTTTACAGTGTAGTTTAAATAATTAAAATTTGTGATTATTTTTTCCAGTTGAATGCACCTGTGCCATTTATAGGTAATACCCAGCTGTTTCTTCCATAATAGGATATGAGACATCATGCATCATCTTTTCATCCAGTAGATCATAAGAACATCATGTCTTGTTAAACGCTTAATGACTATGCCTGATTAGTTGAACCACCACAATCGCCTCTATCTGAGCTGTCAAATGTGGAGGGGAGCTAAAAATAAATCGCCGTCACTGCCTGAACGGCGTACGGCGCGTGAAGAGATTTATCTCATTGATCTACAATGCCAAGAGGGCGGGGCCAGCGGTGATTGCGTCATAAAGGAACCGAAGATGGCTTCACGATGCGCTACGGCAGTGCTTAGATGCGACAAGGCTCAGCTGTCAGAACACACTTTTATATGAAAAGGAAGGAAGGGTAAAGCAAATTAGAAATACTGGGACTAAAGGCAGGCGAGCCGTTCAGATTTATGTCTCCAGCCAGTTTATGCTGCACTTGGGTTGTTTAACAATCTGGGACAATGGGTTCGACTACAGATGAAGAATTTAAAGAGAAATTACTATGGAACGTCAAAAGAGAAGTGAGTGCAATTAATTTATTTCTTGTCTTAGTTTTGATTCAATGCTAAAACATGCGTGCACGATCAGCTCGCATGCATGCTTTGCATCTTGATTTAGTGCATGCATATAAGTTTCGGATGCGCTGATGCTTAACGTACAGACAATGATGAATTAATGTATAACGAGTTGCATTTACGAGTGCTCAGGTAGGCTATTATATTTCTTAGAGGTTTACATTCAAACACTTTCACCTGTAGCGCTGGAGAGGTCGGCTATTTCCTTCTTCATCCGCCTGTAACTTAATGTAGCTATGGGAGACGATTTAATCAATGGTTTCTGCGGTGATCAATAGATTCTGCCTTCTGCAAATGGCTAAATACAGTCTAAAAGCGAGTACGTTTTTAGTGTCGAATATGCTCCTAGCCTGTTGCAATGTAAACAAAAACGAGTTGACATCGAATTTCCATTGACAGACACTTGAGGGGCTGAGCGCTCAGAGCACGCTAGGTTTATTTATAACACGACTGTAAGAGAAAGCGCGCTACTTTATTATTTGACTAGATTAGAAGAGATCGTTGCATTGATTGCTCTGCATGTTACCTGTTTTGATCTGGGCTTATTTTCTTTTTATCACACGCAGAGAAACTTTCTCATGTGGAAATGGAATGCCACACTAACCTATTTTTGAGCGGTTACACGTTAATTTCAATGATCAAATAAGTTTAATGTGAGGGGGTTATCATACAGTCAAAATCATATCTGCATTATATAAGACCAGTATGGCCATTGTTGGTTCACACACTATAGGTTGAACTGGCTTCAAACTCATTAATAAAAACAGTTTAATATGACTAAGTTAAGTCAAGTGTACATGAAGTGTAATGAAATATTTTTGCTGTTGCACTTACTACATTGTTGCTTAAAAAATAAATAAAAACATGACATTAATTTAAAATTATTAATTTACTTCTAAATGTGCGTATAAAGCTTCCTCTAAGAATAATAGTCCAATAAAGTGTAGAAAACAATTCAAAAACATGTTAACTTCTGGACAGCGCAGCAGAAATATCTAGTTTAGTTAATATACAAATATATTAGCCCACTCAGTGTTGTGATCGACCAATCAGATTCAAGTATTCAAGATAGGCTTGTAATGGAAAACAGATTCACCCAAGGTATTATTTTAATCTAAAAAGGAGTAAAACCATACATTAAAAATTCCGTACTAACCATTTTATGCCAAATCAAAATAAGTAGTCAGAGATAAATATGAATGAGCTGTTCTTGAGCGTATTTTGTAATAATTATTTGATAAGACGTCACATTCACAGAGTTTCCAATGTTTTCACTCCAGGAACTGTACAGTGGGAGAAGCTGTTACATTCTTTTATATCAGTGTAATTAATTCTTATCTTTTCCCCCACAGTGCAGGGAACGCTAGTTTTAAATCCGGCCCTCATGAATAATAGAAATCTTGAATGAATTGCTGCAAAGAATAGATGTCCTAAATTGGTACCAGCATGTCTCATGTGTCAGAACAGACTGTGTCCACATAGCTGATTCAGCCTCTTGAACTTAATGCACAGTCCTGGCAGACATCATGTCTCATGATAGTTAAGGGCATGTTTAATATCATGGATGTGATAATTAAATTCTTAAGGTATCTGGCCTCAGGTGGCTCAGTGGCCTGGGTTAATAAAGAAATCAATTTTTAACATCATCTCATTCATCAAGTTTTAAAGAACTTTTGTGCTCCATATTCATTAAAATCCCCTATTTTTACTTCTAAAATGAGTCACGTCCTCCACAGAGATGTCCTGGACTCTTTAGTTAACGTAGAGTCACATTGATTTCCATTGATTAATAGTGCTTCTCCTGCAGGTCATTCCACATTTATTTGTCTATGGGAACCAGAAGTACATGTTTATGACATTATGATATTATAAAATGAAATACATATCTCTATATATTCATATCTCTACAAAAGACCTCACTTTTTTGGTTTTCAGCTATTTTAAGCATCATATGTATAGTGAGGAAATACAGTATCTGAATGAATATTTACAATGCATACAGGTTATAACAGTCCTGCAATACACACAGGATTAGATTTTTATTCCTCCATTGACTTTCTTTTGTAACATCCCAGGTCTCTGTCACTTTAAGCTGCAGTCAGCCGCCTTCTGGTTGCCTAGGAACTGAAAGCATCAGCAGCTACCTAAGAAGTTAAATTGCATCAGTGGACGATTAATACAGCTGCATGAAGCAGGGATCGTCACAAATGGCTCCCACAAGAGCGAAACAACTTAGTTTCATTTTCCTGTTCTCTGTTTTTTCCCCATCAATATTTATTGGCTGCATTGAGCAACATTACACCATTTTGCAATGATCTATTTAATATTTATGAAATATTTTTGTGTCTGCAGAACTGCATACCCCATTTTTTTTGGTCAGATTTTCTGTCAAGAGCTTAGATTTTGAACTGCATTCTTCTTCATAGGCTTTTTTTTTTATGGCTGTGCATGTGATTGAGTCTGTCTTTGTAGGTGTTCACTATATCCTTTTAAATTGGGAAGAGGATGCCAAAGCTCTTTGTATTTATAGACGTTAGATGATGAATTACTAGAGCATATTGTGATGATATCTCTCCACATGTTGTGTGTGTGTGGACTGACAAGCTCTGATTGCCCCTTATTTCAACTGTAAAAATCCTTGAGTGATGACTTCATTAACGCCATTGTTACCGCTGTCAGCTTGGCTGGAAATGGGTTTTAATGCCATCGTTTTCTTTTAAATCACTATGTGAAGCATTTGCACTACTCGAGCGTCCAACCATTCTTGTGTCTTTCGAGATATGTTATATAATGCTGCTGTAGTTAACTGGTTTTAAAACCTTTTCATTTTTTCTTTTTCATTTCATCCCAAGGACAGCAGCACTGGCCAAACACTTAATATCAGCCTTAAAAAAAATGTGTGTGCCCAAAAGTGAAATTTTGATGAATATTTACTCACCCTCAGGTCATCCAAGATGTAGATGAGTTTTGTTTCTTCCTCAGATTTGGAGAAATTTAGCATTACATCACTTGCTCATGGATGCTCTGCAGTGAATGGGTGCCGTCAGAATGAGAG